CTAGTTACGCCTATGCCACTGTCATGCAATAAAAATGGGTTTCCATCAGAAGTCAGTTGGTAGAGTTCAGAAATTTGTAAATCAGATAAAAATTTCGGATTGTCTGATAACCCAGTTTCTATGTTCTTAAGTCTGCGAATAACTCTTTTTTAAAAACCGATATATTTGGTAATCGTCCTGATGCTGTAACTGAAACTGATATTGACGCCAAAGCAATAATAACATTGTTTCCTATATCACAATTATTTACTGTTATAATTTTAATATTATTTACTATTTTTAAACATTTGATCTTACCCAGGGCTGGATTAAGGCCTAATGCCGCCATGGAGCAAACATTTTTTGCCGCTCTTCCAACCTCCCCCCCACATCATAAAAAAAACCATAAAAAACATTAAATAATATTTAAGTATTTATTTATTTATTACCTAAGTATCAAAATATTTTATAATTCATATTTATGGTTAATAGTTTAAATAAAATAATTCTGAATTTAGATGTCTTTTTTTCTGGATTTCATTGTGGCAAATTGATGAATCAGATCTTTCCACTTCATATTTTTCACTAAATCAGATTCAATGCACAATATCGACATATTTGACATTTTTTCGTATAAATAATTTTTTACACGTTTTAACACAGAAAATGATCTTTCACCGCTTGCATTTGAAGAAGGAAGAGTACAAATAATTCTTAAAATAATCTCTATATTTGGAAACGATGTTTCTAAAGAAGATGTAATTAATGTTTTATGTAATGCAGCAAATGATAATTCACATTCTTTGGGAAAATCTTTAACGATGCTTTTAAATTGTATTAATTCTTTTTCAAAATCTGTTTTTAAATCTAAATAATATAGTTCAACAAGATTTTTACCTTGTATTCGAATAATTTCCAATGTCTCATTTTCTAAGTTTAATAAAAATCCAAATCTAATATTGATTTCTATATAAACTTCCATTCTTTTATTTAACTGAAAAACAATTGTGTTGATTATCACCAAAAAAATTTCAATTTTCATTTTTTCATTTCTGGTGAAATTAATTTCATCTGAGCTTAAATCATCGATACAAAAAGTTGATTTTTTTTGTTTCTGGATGTTTCCCATGAAAATAATTTACTGCCACATCGAATTTGGGCCTCTTCTAAAAACGTGTAAAATGAATTTCTCATATTTTCAATATAATCTTTCAATGAACGATATAGAGAAATAACTATTGATAAATTAATATTTTCCGATTGTAATGTTTTTGACATAACATCAAGACGTTTTAAAATCAGACTCCACATAGATAATGATATATGAAAATTCCAAAGTATTAATTTTTTTATGAATTGAACGTGCTTCATGACATATGGCTGGTCTCTGGTTTTTATCTAAATATATTTTTCTAACGACTGTAGTATTTCTTTGTATCCTCCATTAAGGGACTTAAAAACATCATATCTTGAAGACCACCTCATTTTACACACATTTTTTATTGTTAATGAATCTGGAGTTTTATCAAGACATATTTCTAAAATTTCCCAACGACTTGTTGAACCAGAAAAGAAGTTATATATCATTTGAGTGTTGTAAAAAAAACGTGTCCCCTCACTAGTAGCTTCAATAGCATTTTGCCCTACTAAGTTTAACGAATGAGCTGCATATAGAACGTACAATGCTTGTTCTGATGTACGACTTATACGTGCTTGCAGCCCATTGTATATGCCCGACATATTATACGCATTGTCGTACGACTGACCTCTACAGTTTTTTAAATCTATTGAATGATCAGTAAAAAAATTAAGTAAGGCATTTTCCATATCTTCCGCTTTATGACCAACTGATTTAAGAAATTCAATAAATCGTTCAACTGTATAGTTATTATCTTCAATGTACCTTATAATGATAGTTAGTTGATCTACTTTAGTAATGTCAGGGGTAGAATCTACTAGGGGTAAAATATTTGGATTTTTTTATTTTATTATTAATATTATCAATTACTAATTTACTCATTAAAGAAATAAATTCATCACAAATTGTAGATGATAAATATGAAACGTTTCCACGACCTTTATTTCCAAAATTGGTAATGTGTTTTGCAATGAATGGGTCAAACTTAGAAATCTATTCTAAGCATCCTAAATAATTACCATTATGTTTGGAACCAAACGTTTGATCATCTCCCCCAAAAGCTCTTTCTGATAAAAATGAAATTGTAGCCACTATACGATGCAACACATTTTTCCAATAGCTTATTGAGATTGCATTTCTTCTTGTAAAGCATGATCGATAACGTCTTTATTTTTACTTGTTCTCAAAAACCATTTACGGACATTTGTATTATGAGCTATAATTTTTTCATGTTCATTGACTAAATGATAACATTTTTGCCATTTTTTAATTTCAAAATTAGGATCACTGAAGGCGTGTTTATTAGAACCAAAAATTAAACATTAAAAATAATAAAGTGCATTTTTAGATTTTGAATAGAGAAGCCAATTCCTTTTTGTGCGTTCGCCATTAAGAAGATACCTTTCAAATATGTTATGGAAGTTTTCTAATATTTTTTCCGCATAAACGTTTTGTACTTTTAAAGTCAATATCAATCAAATTAACAAAAGGCGGATTTTTTAACAAATAGTCTATTGTATCAGAATCTAAATTCCATTCTGCTGGATCTGACCCAGGAAATTGTTTTGATACGGATACATTTTTTGAAAAGCTGGTAATAAGTTCTAAGTTTGGAGACAGAATTTCATTGTTTTTTTGTTCATCAAAATTATTAGTTTCAGCTATGAATTAATAATGTATAGATTACTATAATTAGGTTGGTTATTGTTGAGTTTTTCTACGATTTAGTTGTTTTGAACATTTGAATATGAATCCTAAAACCAAAGAATAAAACTGTGACGTCGAACAATAAAATTGAATTTAATAAAACCAAAATTAAACAAAAAATATTCAAGTGCCTTGCAAAATTTGTCGTTACTATCTAATGGAATATTAAAAAAATGTTCTATATAAATTCGAACGTAACAGCCAAAGATGGCTTGTAATTTGTATAAAATAAAATACCTAAATGATTTTACGTAACGTCAAGTTATGTACTTACTAAAATCTTACTTATCGGTTACAGTATAATATAAAGACATATTTTTTTATCATTAGGTACGTAATATTTCAAAAACTTACCTTTTTAAAAAAGCTATCTAATTTTGCTGTTTTTGCAATAACTTTTTCATCTTTCAACTTTTTTTCTAATGCTATTTTTTGATATTTCGAACCACTCAATCTTAATCTTTTCATTATTGCTAGTACTACTTCGTTACTATACAACTAACTGATAAATCACAATAACAAAATATTAGTTTAAAACTTTAAAGGTTTGAACTCGTCAATTGCTCATGAAAATGAAAAACTGCACGTCTACACAACTAAAGCGAACTGCAGATATTGAGGTTAAATAAAGTTTCGATTTTGGGGTGGCTATTAAAACATTTGGAGGGTCTAAGTCCCCCCAAGCCTTCCCTGATATCCGCCTATGCCCATTTCAGTATACTATTACATAATATTTGTAATTAATATCAAATCCAAAATAGTAACTGAATTATAATTACATAAATAAAGTTATAGAAAATTGCCTTTTATAAGGCTGATGGTGGCAGTGGCGTAAATTGGGTGGTGCAAATGTGGCACTTGCAACACCACATCTAAAATGTGGTGGTGTAAAGATATGTTTTTTCACCACAAAAAAATCATTAAAATTTGTATACCTATATTATTTTCAAGAGCCAAGGAAATCAGCATACTAAAAACAAAATTTGATTTTTTTTTTTTATTAATATTAATTTTATATATATATATATAATAATAATAAAGGTTTTATTGCTAAAATAATTTCAAAATTTATTTTTTATTTTAAGAAATATATGGGAAAATATATAGTTTATTGGGAAGAATTTTACTTAGGAAATTGGAAAATTGGTGTATTGGAAATTACAAGTTGAGAATATGTCTCTGCACCACCAGAAATTGGATACAATTTACGCCATTGGATGGTGGTATCCAGTGGCTAGCTAGGATTTTCTGAAGGGGGATATTGATTATAATTATTAAATATTATATATAATACGTACGAACTAAAACTTTTATTTTAATTAATTAATATGTATACATAATGTCTGTAATAAAGATGTAATGTATATTCGAATTCGGATAATTTTACCATAAATTATTCGAATATTTGACTATTCGATGTTACAATACCTATTGTTATTAAACGTTTTGTGTTGCACGAAAACGTAAACGAATAATTTTCGTCACGTATTGTCGCAATCGCGATAATGTTAACCTATATATATATATATGTAATTAGTATTGTGCATTATTTTATATTTCATATTGTATTATCGATTTACCTATACTCCTATAATAATGTAATATATAATACGACTCAAGGAGGTTGTCATATCTACCAAACACCCCCCTTGTATACGCCACTGGTGGTATCCTTAAATAATTTAGTATCTTTCGGTCTGAATGTCCCATCCCCATATAAATCAAGATTAAACCAATACCTATACCTCAAGAAAACACTATATCCAATAAAATACTCAATCTAAATAGATATACATTTTGTACGCTACTAAATACCACCTTGAAAATTTTAGGGGGTATATTGCCTTCTCGAACCACCCTTTAAATACGGCTCTGGTTGTTACCCGTATTAGCACAGAACAATATGTATAAATTCACTAGGGCATCTGGCCATATTTTGGTAAAAAATACACACATTTTCATTTTTAATTGAAAATAATAATAAAATAATTATGAATTTATTTTCTAAGATACAACTATTTATACAGATAGTTGTATCCTAGAAGTTTATATTTTATTGAGAGTTATTTTATGAGCATCCTTTAACCCTACGGAGAATATTGTTCTTTATTTCCTGTACGGAAAACTTCAAATAACTGAATAATGTATTCGCTTCAAGTTAAGGTTAATCTAATAATAATTTTGTTTTCATTGTTATTTTACCTGAATAAAATTAATTAATTGATAACATAACATCGATTACTGATAGTAAAGCAGCGAGATAAAAAATATTATGTAATGCGGTTAATTATTGAGCAAAATATAGCTCTTTTATTAGACGAATTGTCTGCTAAGGTCAAGGAGTCCGATGAAACTAAAATAATGTGGTTTATAGTACTGTTATAAGCGTGTAATTATAGTTTGTGGTCAAAATCTTGTTGTCATTTAAAATTGTTGCATTTTACTTAATAAAGAGAAAAGTAACGAAAATCTTAAAGATTATTTATTTTATAACAAATGTTTTAAAAACTATTAAATTGTTATAAAGTTACTAGGTTAATTGTGTATTGAAATTAAATATTACAACTATGATTTTCACTATTAGTAATATACGTAAATTTTACACCCAATCAGTTTTGTTCAAAAATGCTATTCAGTTAACTAAAGATAGATTTACAAATTTAAAAAGAGGATCATATGCTGTATTAAATGCTAATGATGTTGATTATTTTAAAAAACTATTGGGGGATAATAATTTTATCACTGGTGAAGAAGTTAAAGCTTACAATGAAGATTGGTTAAAAACTGTTTGTGGTAATTATCTGAAATTTCAATATTTATAATTTGTTTATTATTAAATACATATAAATATTTAATATTATTTCAGGTTCTAGCAAATATGTACTTAAACCTAAAACAACAGAACAAGTATCAGAAATTCTTAAATATTGTTATAAGCATAATATAGCAGTTAGTATCCAAGGTGGAAATACTGGTCTGGTTGGCGGTAGTGTTCCTGTTTTCGATGAAGTTATTTTATCCACTTCTGCAATGAATAAAATTATTAGTTTCAATAAATTATCAGGTGAGCAACTAAATATATTGTACTCAAATTACCCATTAAAAAAATATTTATAAATAATATTTATAAACATTAAAGATTTTTAAATCTATAATTTAGTTCAATAATAGTATTGGTCAAGTTTTTTAGTTTGCAAATCATTTCTTAATATTTTCTTCGGCATTGTTTCATTTTAAGTATTAATTTTAGAAACAAGTAAAATTTTTTAATTAATCTGTTAAAAAGTGTCTTTCAAATGATTTTTTTTTTTTAGCTTTTACAAGCCATTTAGGCTCTGCTTCTAACACCAGTTTTCCCCAAACATCTCTTGCGTAGGCTAGATCTAAGTTTCCATTCCAATCTTTCAAATGATAGATAATGAAAATTAGAATTTAATTTTTTTGCTTTTTCAATTTCTATCTATCTTGTTTGAATTTAAATATTAAGTTTATTTAGGTGTTTTGGTTTGTGAGGCTGGATGTGTATTAGAAAATTTAATGAATTATGTTCAAAACAAAGGGTTTATAATGCCGTTTGACTTGGGTGCAAAAGGCACTTGTCAGATTGGTGGTAATTTAGCAACCAATGCTGGAGGATTAAGATTAATTAAATATGGGAGTCTACAAGGAAGCGTGTTGGGATTACAAGCGGTAGTTTGTTGATGTTTAGTTGTTTATTATTTCATCATTATATAATTTGTATGCATTTAAGGTGTTGGCTGATGGACAAGTTTTGGACTGTCTAAGTACACTAAAAAAAGACAATACAGGATATCATTTAAAACATATGTTTATTGGTTCTGAAGGAACGTTGGGTGTTATTACAAAAGTTGCGATTCATTGTCCAAATGCTCCAAAATTTGTTAATGCTGCATTTATTGGTTAGCCTTAAATTAAATACAAATAATTATATGTATTTAATTCAACATTATTTACAGGTTTAAAATCATTTGATAAAGTATTGAGTTTCTTCTCATTAATAAGAAAAGAATTTGGTGGAAGTCTTTCTTCATTTGAATTAATGGACTCTGTTGCAATAACAAGTGTACAAAAAAATATTGGTCTTAAATGTCCAATAGATGACAACCTTGAATTTTATGTACTATTAGAATTATCAGCTGATAATAATTTCATAAATACTTCCATACAAGAAGTTTTAGAACAAGCTTTAGCTGAAGAAATAATTGTAGATGCTACTGTAGGTGATCAACCATCTGTAGTTCAGGTAATGAGTGTCTAATCTAATTATTAGGTACCTATTATAATAAATCAAAAAAATTAAATTATTTTATTATGTAATTTTAAAATGTTTAGAACATATGGAAAATAAGAGAAAACATTCCTGAAAGTTTTTTAAGATATGGCTATGTCTATAAATATGATATAACTTTACCACATGAATTATTTTATGAAATTGTTCCTGAAATAAGGAAACGATTAGAAATATTAGATGTTAAAGCAGTTAGTGGCTATGGACATTTAGGTAATAATTCTTGACTGTTTTTATTTAACTAAATTATAAATAGTAATTTGTTCATCATTTTGTGCAGGTGATGGAAATTTACATTTAAATGTTGCGACAAATGAACATAGTGATAAAATAGTATCTGCCATTGAACCTTATGTGTATGAATGGACTACAAAATGTAAAGGAAGTATAAGTGCTGAACATGGAATCGGTCTATTAAAAACTAAATATTTAAAATATTCAAAATCTGATATAGAAGTAGATTTGATGAAAAAATTAAAAAATACTTTTGATCCAAAAAAAATTTTAAATCCATATAAAATTTTTCCTCAAGATGATATTAATTAAATTTTTAACTTATAATTCATAATTATTGTATTGTTTATAATAAAGCTAATTGTTATTATCTTGTATAGACTTTTACAATATTTTTTTGATTTTTAAAATTTCAAAGATTATTTTTATACTTGTAACCAGTATTTTCTTATTTTAATGAAATGTTAAGTTATATATTGATTTTTTTTTGTTTAAAACTAAAAATGATACAAAATGTATTACATACATTTTCAAAATGTATAAAAAAGATAACTATTTTTGTTTTTATATTTGCATAGATATTATAATATTATTCTATACCAGTTAGTCAAGTGTTGGGTCAATCTTAAAAATAAAAGATGTTTAAATAAAATGGTAGTTATACTTTCAATTTAGAGTATACTGTCGTGAAAGAACTTATAATGATTATATAACTCATCTATATGGTGTTTACGTGACCGCCTTATATATCTTGACTTTAATTGATTATGTTAGTTATTCTCATGTTCCGTTTGAAAATTTTTCTCTATATGATATGTAGTTCAGATTAGAATTAAACTGCTCACATCTATTATGATTATCAAATCTTGTTTTATTTTTTATATTTATTTTTTCTGTAAAATAGTTATTTAAATTTAAATATTAGATATCAATTTTATTATATCACTATCATTATCGTAATATGTTTGTCGTTTTGGAATTGAATGCCTTCCTATATCATGTTATTATTAATTTAGGGCTATATTTATATTTGTTCATAAGTATATAAAAATTCCATAATGTAGCATTTTAACCAAGACCATTATATTATAAAAAATATATAATTAATAAATACAATATTTATATTATCAAAAAAATTGATTAAGTTGGATGATAACTGTTATAGGAATTTTTTTCTTAATAATTTTTAAAGCTTTTAAATTATAATGAAAATATTATTTTATTTTTTTTTTACAACTTTTTTAAATCTTGTTATAAAATTATGTTTTGGTATTAACATGCAATTATTAAATACAATTCATCTTCTAAACAAATAAACATAATACATTTTGTCCAAGCGATAACTTAAAAGAGTTTTTACTTTTCATTTTATGGATAGAAGATATGTTTGAGGTTTTCTTTTTCTTTGGAAATATATTGAATATTAATATTAAAATAAGCACTTTATTGTTCGCTTGTTAGGCAAATCTTAGAATATGGCTCTGTCATCTGGAACCCTCAAACGGCTTGTAATTCAGTCATGCTCAAAAGAGTTCAACAAAAATTTTTGAACTACATTAGCAACATTTTAAAAATTGAGTGTCCCAATCACGACTATACGACAGTCCTAAAATCCTTCAAGCTAGACACTAGCAAACTGTAGGCAAACAGCAAATCTCACCTTTTTGGCCAAATTATTGTAGGGGAAAATTGATTCATCGTACTTACTATCCCAAGTTTTTTTTTACGTTCTAGTCCGAACCTCTTGCCATACTGTTCCTTTTTTACTTGCCACCTCTTCAACTAACTATGGTCAAAATGAACCACTACGTCGCTGCATGTATTTAGCTAATTTAGACCCTTCCTTTTCACTAAATAATTTTGAATTTTTCTATGTATTAACTATTTATTGTACTAAATTGTAATATTGTAAATTGGGCAAAAGCCCGTGATGTATTATAAAATAAAATATTAATAAATTTATTTAACTTTAATTTAAAACCAATGTTAAAATAAAAGTACATTTATTTAAGAAAATTTCAGAAATGTTATCAGCATCTAAAGATATTTTTAAATTAATATTTAATATTTCATTAAGTATTAATGAGTTCACAACTTACGGTATTTAGATTTTCCATTGATTATAGAATAAAGTACATTCAAATATAATACAAATCAAACATAATCAATATAATATAAACTTTAATCAATGGTATTACCATTTATTGTAAATGCTATTATTTACAATCAATATTATTATATGATACAAATGAAGGACCAAGCTTCTCATACTCTTGTTCAATAAAATAAATTACAAAAGTTTCCAAATGTTCACTAAATCAGAAGATAATGAAACATATTTCACAACATAATTAAAATTACCTGAATTTTAAAAATATTAGATATTATTTGAATATATTTTTTTTATCAATTTAAATATAACGGTTATTGTTTTACAACCTCTGTAGTTGCTACTGCGGTAGCATATCATTCATGTTATTTATCGTTTCTAACCACATAACCTTGCGTTCGTTACTATGTTCATTATCAATGTAAAATGTTAACACAACTACAGAAGATTTATATTCACTTTATTGACATTATTGTAATAATATACTTGTTTGTTTTACTATCACAAGTTTTAACTTTTACTTATTATTTTTCTTTCTTTAACTTCATATTTGGCTTTTAAATTGCAACTACAAGTATTTCAAATGTAAATTAAACCAAGAATATCAGAATTACAAGTTTATATATTGGTAATAAATTTTAGTCATTAAGAATTTTATGTTTTGTTTATTTTTATTTGTATAAAACTCATGTAAAATTAAATAACTGATGTTTGTTTTAAGAGATAAATTTCTAAAAACCCATTGTACATGTAAAAACATTCTAATCTATATATAGCTATATTTTGTATTAAATTGTTAATAACCATGTCCATTACTGTGGATACATCTTTCTCGGTACCTCCACCTCCAATAAACTTTTCAATTCCGCCGCCTTCAACCAATACATTCATTCCGACAAACTACAGGTTTCAAGGTCCTATACCTTTAAATATACGCGGTCCAGGTCTAGGTGTACCACCAAGACATCCAATAAATAAAAGTGCGCCACCATTAGATTTAGATTTTGATGGTAAACGATTGAGAAAATCTGGTCTGCGTAAAACAGTTGACTATAATGCGTCATTAATTCGAATGCTTCAAAATCGTATTTGGCAACGAGACTTTAGAGATAGACCTTTTTTAGAACCTGATGTATTATATACTCCTCAACTTTTACCTCCACAATGTTATGTAGATAATTCTGTAAATGCAGTTACAACAGCTTTTGTCAAGACTGTTACCAACAAAGTACGGTGTCCTGTATTTTGCTTAGCTTGGACTCCAGAAGGTAGACGTTTAATCACTGGTGCGTCTAGTGGTGAATTTACTTTATGGAATGGACTAACATTTAATTTTGAAACTATTTTGCAAGCTCATGATTCACCTGTTCGTTCAATGGTATGGTCTCATAATGGTAACTGGATGACTACTGGTGATCATACTGGTTTTATTAAATATTGGCAATCAAATATGAATAATGTCAAAATGTTTCAAGCACATAATGAAGCTGTTAGAGGTATAAGTTTTAGTCAATCTGATGATAAATTTGCAACTTGTTCAGATGATGGTACTATACGTATATGGGATTTTTTTACCAACCAAGAAGAAAAAATACTTAGAGGTCATGGGGCAGATGTAAAATGTATTGATTGGCATCCTCATAAAGGTCTTTTAATTTCTGGCAGTAAAGATAACCAACAACCAATTAAACTATGGGATCCAAAATCAGGTCAATCATTAGCCACATTACATGCTCATAAAAGTACAGTTATGGACGTTAAATGGAATGCTAATGGTAACTGGGTAATATCTGCTTCTAGAGATCATTTGTTAAAATTATTTGATATAAGAAATCTTTCCCATGAAGTTCAAACATTCAGAGGTCACAAAAAAGAAGCTAGTACCATTGCTTGGCATCCATATCATGAAAATTTATTTTGTAGTGGAGGTTCTGACGGGGCTATATTATTTTGGAATGTGGGTGTTGATAAGTTTGTTGGATCTATTGATCAAGCCCATGATAGTATTGTTTGGTCATTAGCCTGGCATCCATTAGGTGAGGTATTATGTTCTGGTTCAAATGATTACACTTGTAAGTTTTGGACCCGAAATAGACCTGGAGATAAAATGACTGGAAAATATCATTCAGTTAATACTGTTTCTAGTATGTTAAAAACAGATAACATGACAGCAGATGCTCAATCAACTATTCCTGGAATGGGTCTTGAGGATATTGCTGAAGAAGATTCTAATAAAATATCAGTTGATAATAATACTATACCACTTTTAGACATAACTTCTACAGAAGAACCAAGAGTGCGACAAATTAAGAAAATTCCTTATTCTAAACCTATTCCTAAAAATTTCCAAAAGTTCTGGAATGAATACAAAACTAATGATGAAATAATAGAAGATGATTCTGAAGAAAATCTTGGCCCTGATAGTGATGTAGTTAATAATGTTGTTGAGAGTTTAATGGATTTAATTCCAGGTTCAAGACCAGCAAGTGAATTAAAACCGGAATCACTTCTTGTGTATGGACAAATGATAAAAGTAGATCAAAATTCACCATTAGAAAATGCAATTAAAGAGGGTAGAGAATCATTAATGCGTCTTCTTCATTCTGGTGCAATACCAGAAGTACGGCAACATCTTTCATTTGAAAATAATAATGATCCAATTTATGCATATGCTTCCAAACATCTTCAAAAAGATCAAGACTTACGCAGAAATAACCCATTTAACAATAATGTAAATGTCAACTTTCCTATGAATCAGGATGTTGATCTAAGAATCAATAACAATTTCAACCAAACTTATGGATCTTCTACTAATTTTCAATCAGCTTCTAATGACAATTTTAATAGACAAACAATTAATCAGTCATCTAATTCAAGTGGTTTCAGTCAACCAACAAGATCTTATTACAATAAATCACATCCGTATAAAAATAATTCACAAAATAACAGGTCATCTCGACAATATGGAAACAATCAAAATGGCTCGCACAATGGTCCACCACCTAATTTAATGGAATCCACTTTTTCGAGACCATCAAATTACCGATCAAATTCACAAAGACAACCTCAAAATTATAATGACATTTGAATATGGTTCTTGAGTGGGTACCGAGTTACAAAACTATTACATGGTATTATAAAATGTATAAAAATATTGTAAAATACTTGTTTATGTTTTATATAAAAAATATAAAATAATTTCCATCATTTAGGTAGGTATATTATATTTCTTCATTTTTAAAATATGATAAATAATTAATACTCAGTGTATGTAACACCATCATATTATTTTTTTAAATTATTGTTACTTGTAAATTATTGTTGTTAATTTGTATATACATTTACAAAATATTTAACTTTTTAAGTTAAAAAAATCAATGTTTACCTATATCTCAATTTCAGTCCTACTCCTTTTTGATAAAAAAAAACAATTTTACTCCTGCATGTAATTATGTAATATACATGGGACTCCAATTTCTAAAGCCATCTGAATTTAATTTATTTTTCAGATGGAGTACTGTGTTGAAGTAAATTGTCTAAAAATATATAAAAAAAAGCATTTGACCACTTATTTGTTTATTCAATAAGTGAACTCGCGAGTAAAATATTTTTTCGTTTATTAGGTGTATTGTATCAATTTCATATATTCATAATAATTAAACAGATGTATTGAACATCATTATTTTTACAATTTTCGAGTATCACCTGGTTATGTATCTAATATTTAAATTAAGTTATTGTATAGTATGATTAATTTGGGATCAATTAGTATAATTTACTTAATTATTTATAAATGTTCTTAAACAATTTTATTAGAGTATACAATTTTGAAATCATTTGTAATGACCAATTTTTTTTTTAAATAATGGGAAAATTTAATTATTACTTTTTTTCAAACAAGTCAATTCAGTTTTTATAATTGTGGTTTTCAAAATTATTTGAAATGTATGTATTTCTTTCAGAGAAATATTACTAAGATTATTTAGTATTTTTATGGAAATTATTAAAAACTTATTGAAACTAAATAGTTTAAATTAATTAATAGCTATCTGTTTTTATAACTTGCTCGAGTATTAAAATTACCATAATTTTGACTGTGTATTAATTTGTATTGTGACAATTATTTTCTTCCTTGACAAGGCTTGTCCTATATTTTAATTCATAATAAAATTTATAACTGAAGGGATATTTTTACTATTTAATCTAAAAACTTAAGTTATAGTTAAGATATAATATATTTTTATAACAAATAACTTATGTGATAAAATTACATTGGTTAACAAGTATCAAATTATTAATATAGGTAAGAATGTAAATGTTTACAAAGAAACTTCATAAAACTGTTTAAAAAAATGTATTTGACATAAATTATAATTATTTTAGTAATGAAAATAAAATGCTCAAATGCCACGTTAGGTACTGATGTATTTTAATAGTCTTGTACATTTTTATTTAAAATATATTTTGTTATTGAAACTGAAGTACCATTATACCATAACATATTATATACTAATACCAAGCAATATAGGTATCTATGAAAAATACTGCTGAAAATAAGAGTTAATATTTGTTAACTTTTCAACTATGAAACCTAGATATCTTCTATTATTATTTTATTACCATATTTTCTAGTAATTTCTATTAATGCCCTACAGTTTTTTACCTGATAAAATTTAAAGAAGAGATTAAAAATACCATGTGCCAGAAATGGTTTAATTACTTATCATTAAGGAGTAGGTACTAAATATGAACTATTCTCAAATCTAAATTATGTATGAAAATGTTATAAAAGACTATGAAGAAACTATTTTAAACAATATTTAAAGTGAGTTAGTATACGTTCAAATCGTGATTAGTCTGTTTAAGTCCGATGGACGATTGAGTCAATTAGGTAACCGTGAGTTCATAAAGTGGTGACCACTATATATTAGATCTCTTATTACATTTGTCACGTGAAATAGGTGTTCATCCAATATATATCCGTTTTTAAAATGATAAAATTAGTAATTTTGTATTATGTACTTGAAATTTTAATAAAATATTTGTACAGAATTAAGATGAGACTATAAGTTTTTTTTTTGAATAAATACATAATTCACTTGACACCTGAATTCATGTACCTTTATATAAGACAATATTCAATATAATTTAAATAGGTGCATTACTAGTAAGTACTTACTACACTATCCTTCACCCCGAATTTTTTTTTGAATATGATTGTTAACTATTGATTTTAAATGCTTTTACTAATTTTAGATTCATTCTAACCCGAAAAATCTTAAACTTTGAAAATCAATTGTTCCCAGTTGTTTTTTAATTTATTTTCATGTTGATTTGTTATAGCTGTAATAATTGTTTAAAAAAAAAAATGCGAATTTTAGTTTATTCACACAGGCGTACTAAAGATAAAATGTAGAATAGATATTTTTAAAAGTGTAATGTGGGTTATATATGTTGCGTATTATTCTGCTAGGTACTTAATAAAAATCAATTTTTTTATTTTTTTAACGGTTTTTTTTTTTATAATGCAGTATTGTTGGTATACTAAGTTGGGTAAGTATCTACTTTTCTCAAATTATTCAAATATAGGAGGTGTTATACGGTACGTATCTATGTCATAGGCCTATAGACTATAATATATCATATTATACCTTATAGACCAGGGATGACAGACCGCATGCGTCCCACCTAAGAATTTTTTACGGCCCTCGAGATTTATCATATATTTGCAAAAAAATTTTATTTCTATGCCAATAGAAAATTCTGGAATGCCCACACAACGCGGTGTCCGTACGATTTACAACTAAATCGACCCTAATCCATTGCTAAACGAATTGAAAAATTCAAAATATATTGATTACATTAAATATGCAAAAGAAATAAGGAAACTTATAGTTTTTGAAAATTGTTTCACTAATTTAAACAAATACAAGAAAATATTTGAAATGCATCCATCTTTTCATACTAATGTGGAGCTGGTCCCAAAATATCTTCAAATGGAACTCATTGATTTGCGATGCAATAATTAAATAAAATACATTTATAAAACAGCAAATTCAAAGATAAATTTTTACACCTAACATTAATATCATAGAAGAAAAATTTTCCAATTTGAGAAATCTGACAAAAAAGGTTATGAGTGCTTTTGGATCGATAAACAACTGTGAATTTTATTTTTCGAAAATGAAATTCGTCAAAGATATCTAATTAAAATTAATTTAACTACTTGTCTTGTTTTTGTCGATTTAAGTAATTTCAGAAGAACAACTTTTACACAAAAAGGTTACTGTGTCACAATAGGTGTGTGTACAGTAGCGTAGATACAATTCTTTTCTGGAGGGGGTGTTTAAGAGTAAGTTTTTAAGTGTTCGTAGTATATCTTAAAACGAGATCATATATAATATTACATTTAAAATAGTGTTATTATGTCCCGTATTAATGAAAATTATTTTGTTATTCAATTTTTAATATATACCTAATCATAGTAAAATCAAAATATTTTACTATAATATATAAATATTAATAAATAATAATCAAATATCATTAAAAAAAAAAATCTGTGGGGGGGTGGAAACCCCTTACACCCTCCCCGTAACTACGCCACTGTGTGTGTATATATATATATATATATATATATATATATATTCAGTACTTATATGAATATTGACAATACTGTACATAATATGTATTCATGTTATAAAATATAATATTAAATCAAATGAAAGATAGTATTTAGATGGTAAAATTAATCTTTTATTACTTAAGTACATGATTGATAATTAATTAATAATAAAACAGTGAGTTTATTTACAGTTAATAATGTCAATATTAGAAAAAGGTGCAACATTTGAGTCGGCCCAATTAGACACGATATTAAAGAGACGCGATGTAGTGTCCTGGGTATCCTATACACAATAGGGTCTCGGAAAGAATAGCTACCTAAAAATAATGAAGACATTGGAAACACACCGCATAACAACTCGCTTAGGTATATTTACGTGAACCTACAACCGACCTTAGTATTTCATTGGTTAATGTTTTTTTATAATTAAAATAAATTGTTATATCTTAATAAAAACTTTTACATTTAAATAATATTTTTATGGCAGCACACCGCGAAAAAAACAATGATGAAGCAGATAATCTTTATCCAATGTTATTTGTCTTATTCTATTTGCATTTGTTAAATATTTTCATTCATACAAATTACATTTTTTATAATTTCTACCAAAAGTAGGTATATCATTGATTAAATATACATTTAATTAATGAGTATATATAAGTATTTATATTAATAATAATAAAATTATAATTTATTTTTCTTTAATTCTCAAAGTGTGATTGATTATTAAAACATTGTATTTATTTTTTTTATCAAAGTAAAAAGCCGAAATCTAGGAGACGATCCAGAGTGAAACGAGTTTACGAGAGCCAAACACATAACATAGTTATATACTTACTCCCACTAATACAGATACGTCGTTTTTCTATTGAATAACAATTCTAATTATAATTAAATCAATTCAATTTATATTTTTTAGCTACTATTTAATTTTTTTTATATTTAATCCATTACCTTTTTAAAACTTACAATAATTAGGTATTCTCGGTTATATAAATAATATTTTTCCATTCAATATTCATTTAAATTATTAATATTTTAAATTTATAAATTTAATTGTATTAGTATTTGTTTTTTTTTATTATTAAATATATTTTTTGTTTCACCTACATAAGTAGTTCCTAGACTCCTGGATTACCCTTTTCATTTTTTCTTTAGTTATTAAAGCATTAATTTTTTTTAAACAAAGTATGATGTTTTTTAAAAATATTTACTTATGTTGTTTTTAGTATTTTTTTTATATTTCAATATATAAATTCTGCAGGCACCAGGAAACTAAACTTTTTTTGACATACTTCTTTTATCGCGATTTATAAATATTATTTATTGTTATAAGATATTGTACATTTTTAATACTTAATTTTTCAAATAACATTACATTGTTATATTTGTACCTACATGAATATATTCTTACATGCGCTATAGCCTAATAGTTTTAGTAAAAATCAATTTGAAACAGAAACTTAAATGATGGTGTATAAAAAGTATAACAAATTTAATAGAACTTAGTATTTCATCGGTTAATGTATTTTATAATT